CCGGTTACGGACTTGAAAAATATTTGTGAAAACTTGTTATATTTATGTGTGTTGTTTCTCTTGTGAAATATTTGTGAAAACTTGTTATACTTCCATGTTTTGGTTGTTATTTGGGACACATCTTTTTTAATATCTTAATTTTACGATGTCTTTGAACGTTCAAATGTTTTTATGTATTGGAATTCTATTTATATCATTACTTGCATTTATTATTTTATCATTATTTTAGTAAAAATCATTACAAAAAACTGATTTATTAGGATATTGGTATGGTCAGTCGGTCGGGTCGGTCGGTCGGTCAGTCGGGTCCGTCGGTTTTCAGGTCGGGTTAGGCTTAGGTTTTTGTCAAATTCTCGGGTTCGGTTGCGGTTTCGGGTTTCGGTTTAGGCAGTCGGGTTCGGGTAGAAATTTATACCCGACGGTTCGGCTTCAGGCAAAAAAAAATATCCGATCAAAATTTCGGGTCGGTTTCGGGTAAGAGTATATCCGAACCGAACCCGACCCGTTGCCATCCCTAAATTGTGTTGTTTCAGTTCAAATATTAAAAATAGTAATAGAAATCACCCTAAATAAGAGTAAAATTTAGGAAAAGTACCAAAATAAGAGCTTCATATTTTTATCTCCAAAATATGAGTTTGCACTGTGGATATGGCTGTCAATGGATAGCCGAAAATCCGATTACCGTCTGCATCTGTATCCGTTTAAAAGGAAATATCCGCATCCGTTTTAAACGGATATTATTCATATCCGATTAAGGATATCCGATTACTAAACGGATACGGATTTGGTAAATGTATATCCGATCTGAATATGCATTCGTTTAAATAACCGTTTATCCGAATTTCCGATCCAATATATATAGTTTTTCCTAATTTTTTATGTTTATATTTTGTTTTTCTATTGATATTTCAAAGTATAAGACATTTTTATACACAAAATAAATGTATAGACACAAAAAAATATGTGCAGACATATAAAAATATGTGTATATGTGTGTTGTGTATATATCTTTTTATCATACTTCCTCTGTTTCTTAAAACCATTCCTCTTTCATTTTTTTTGTTTTTCTTAAAACACTTCCTCTTTATATTAAAAAACCACTTTTACCCCTACTTTTTCATACCCTACCTATCACATCATACGTTTTCATTAACAACTAAACTATTACATCTTACTTTACCCATCACATCAAGGACAAAATTGGAAAGTCAACTACAATTTAACACTTCCTTATTTCCCCCAAAGTCAAAAGATGAACTCTTTTGAGAAACGGAGGTAGTATGAAGTTAATCATAAATCATGAAAATAAAGAAAATAATTATTCCATAACAAATTATATTTGATCTAATAGTAGTTTGACTTTAATCTAATTTAAAAATAAAGTATTGTTTAATTTGATATTAAAAATTGGAAACGGATACAGATATATCCGATATCCGACTGATGCGGATACGGTTTTGATTTTCATTATCTGTCAAGATCCGTATCCAAATTCGATATCCGAAAAAAATAAACGGATACGGATTTGGTAATGAAACATCCGACCCGATTAATATCCGTTTACACCCCTAACTGTGGTAATGTGACAATATATATGAACATTTCAGAAATATTTTCCGGTAATCTATATGGTCATGGTTGTCATTGTAATAAAAATATTTTCAGGAATAAAAATGTAAAACTCCTGTTTTGATATATTTTCAATTTTTACTCATACTTTACTCTATTTAATTTCCATATGTGATACTCCCTCTGTCCCCAATTTGATTACAAATTGCGGATTACGGAGTAAAATTTCCTATTTTTTGAAATCATTTTATTTTCAAAATTGGTATATCAATAAGATATAAAAATTACATATTAAAAAACTACGCCAAAAGTTCTACAAAAACAAGAGATGACAAGAAGATTTTATTTTATGAAATACTTGATGAAATCGCGTAAACAAACAAAAGTTATCGAGAGGAGAGAAAAAAAAGATTGAAATCTATTTAGGGACGGAGGGAGTATTTTTCTAAATAATTTTATTAAACAATTTGAAATAATTACTTTCAACGTAAATTTATAGTTTTATTTATTATATTCTCTTACAAGAAAATTTAAAAACATTTGTTCATTTGTAATAAGTTTTTATTTCAAAAATGGATTAATTTAGTTAGGGAAAAACACACAATAATAAGAAAAGGACATTTTTGGGAAATTACTCTAACTCCATCGAGCAACTAAATTGGATTTACAGCGAAATGTTGGAATGTGATATGGAAGAAGAAACTAAACTATATTGATTAATTAATTAATGCAAGAACTGGAGACGGAGCTGGAGCGATGGAGAGAATAGTAAGAAGAAGAGGAAGAAGAAGAAGAAGAAGAGTTCAAGAACTCAATGCAGTCTTCAATGGCCTCTGCCCTCAGGTGGGATTCTACAATGGCCGCCGCCGACGACGACGAGCTTTCCGCATATGATCTCGACCTTCCCAGCTGGCTGCTGCTGCCACCGGAGGACGACGACGCCTTCCGGCTGCATCTCTTCTGCTCCGAGCTCGAAACCAGACGCGCCACGTTCGCCCCCACCTGCTTCAGGAACCTCACCGCTGAAACCGAAAACTCCGCCGCTTCCGTGATCACGGCACTCTTCTTCTTGTTCTTGTTCTTGTGGATTGTTTGTTGTTTTCTTTTGGTGTGCCCTTCTTCATCACGGCTCATCAAACTCACTCTCTTAATGCTCATCATTTTATATATATATATATCTATCTATAGTTGAAGGGGATATGAGAGACCTGAGTGGAGTGGAGACCGGAGATGCATGATGCATATATATATATATATATATATATATATATATATATATATATATATATATATATATATTGGAAATCCATTGGAAACAAATGGTGGGAGTCAATGACTCTTTTCCACTTCTCTCTTCTCTTTTTCCTTTTGTTTTTGGTAGTTCTCATCAAATAAAATTTCCTCCCTCTCACTCAATTTTGATTACAATTTTTTTCTCTCTTCTCGATAACTTTTATTTATCTGTATGTTTTCATTATTATTTTATACCCGAGTAATACTCCCTCCGTTTGGAAAAACCCTTCCCATTTGTTTTAGGGGCAAAAATAAGGAAGTGTTAAATTATAGTTGATTTCCAATTTTGCCCCTGATGTGATGGATAGATTATTAGAGAAAAAATATGATGTGATGGCATAAACTTGAGCTCTGTTTGGCACATAAAATTCAAACTATAAAATTGGAATTGGGGATAACAATTTCAAGTCTGCAGTTTGGTAGCATAAAAATATGTGGATTTGGAATTGATAGTGCCAAAAATGAATTGTAATTGGAGAAACCAATTCCATAGAATTTCAACTCCCAATTTAATTTCAATTCCATCAGTTCCGTATACCAAACGGACCGTTCTATTTTTCAATTGTCCGGCAATAAATTCGGCAAGAATATTAGGATTACTATAAGGTTTTTCAACTTTCGTGATAACTATGTTCAATCTTCGGTTTCCACAATTCAATTCTTTTTGTAAAATGCATGTGGAAATTTCATATAGATCAAATGATCATTTGCTTACTAGTGAGATAAACTTAGAGCATGTCCAATGCTAGTTCCAAGTCCTCATCTCTTTCCTATGTGGCGTTAACTTGGGATTCTATTTAAGTCGCATTGCATTTCTGGCAATTGGTGGGACTAGATTTTGGTCCTAGCATTCGGCATACTGTTATATAAAAATAACATCAAAAGTTCTATAAAATAAAAGGTGATATGAATATTTTTTTCAACAGATGATAAAAAAATATGTTTAGAGAAACTAGATTTTGTTGGACCCTATGAATAGTGAATTGGACAAATTAAAAATATTGGACAAAGTTACTATTTATTGTTTAAATTTGCATTTTAAAATTATTTTAGACTACTTATTTTTTTTATTGAAGTTCACAAATAATAAATTTTTTATCATTGTGATTGGGAACAGAGCATTAATGTTGATAGTTAAGTATTTCTTAAATGTTGAAATAAACATTGTTTTTTGAGGAAAAATAAAAAATTTTAAGAAAAATATGCTTGATAATTAAGGATTTCATAAATGACGAAATAAACATTTCATTAAAAAATTAAAAAAAATTGTAGGAGAAGGTCCCTGTGCAACTTAGCTCATAGAATTTCTCGATTTCATTGGATTGTTTTCATAAACAATTTTCAAAAAAAAATTTATCCCAATATTCAAAAAAAAATTTATCCCAGTATAAAAATGTTCAGAAATTTACTTAGAAAATCCTGCATGAATACATCATGCATGCAGTGGGTTATATTGACAAAAAAAACCAATAAGAAATTAAAAGCAATATATATATAAACTATAAAGGTCCGTGGCCTCATCCATATAGACGAGAGGAAAAAGTGAGGTTTGGTCAAATATATAAAGAACCAAATTATCCATTAACAAGGAAAAAAAAGTGATTGATGGGGTTTGGTCAAAAAGAGATAAAAGAATTTTAAGCAGTGGGGGAGGAATTGATATGATGTTCTTTATTTAATTTTACTCCTCCATGAACATCATATATACATATATATGTTGTAGAAAAAGGTTGTTTGGTCATGAATGAAATTAAAGAGAAAAAACAGGAAATGATTCTCCTTCATTCCCTTCTTCTTAATGTATTCTTCTTTCTCTTAAAGTCTTTCTCATTATGATTTTTTTGAAAATTAAGAGAGATATATTTTTATGTTGATTTTCCTAAAATACCCTCGATCGATGTGATGGCTAAAAGTTAAACGTGATGGATAGATTATTAGTAAAAAAATATATGATGTAATAGGTATGGTGGGAATTAGTAGGAATAAAAGTAGTTTTTGAATTGAAAAGGAAAAGACTTTGTGGGACAACGAAAAAATGGAGAAGGAGTTTACAAGGGAGTACTCCCCCCGTCCCCCTGTATTTGTCCACTTTCATTTTACACACCATCCAATGCACTTCTTTAATCCATTTTATTTTGTAATTTGTATATTAAAAAATTATAGAAATTATATATTAATAATCTATATGTTAAGACAAATCAAACAAGATCACACATGACTATATTTAGGCTTATACATTGAGAGAATTTGATGAGTCAAAGTGCTTAGATGAACAGTTTCAAAAGTCAAATGTTGACAAATATAGGGGGACGGAGGGAGTATTAATTATACTCCTTCACCAGCTTTTGCTTTTATGGAATGTTTTATTTTATGTTGCATTTTGCTAATTGGGTCTCTTGCCCCTACCATTTTCCCTTTTTGAATCCCTTTCAGGTATCAGAATTTCTTTGCTTGGCCCCTGCCCGCCTGCCCGGCCCCTTGCTCTTTCATTGGTTCATCTCAATCCCCCCGGCCTCCTGCTTTCTTTCTTCTTCTTATTTTTTTTTTTTTGCAATTTGTTCTGGTCTCCTTTTTGTTTCAGTCTTTAGTCGTCTGCTCGTCTCGTGCTTTACATATTTATTGTCAATAATATATATGGAGTAATAATTTTGCTTTTCTGATAGTTGTGTCACTCTCGTCTTCTAAAAAAAGCTTCATCAATCAGTATTTGATACCCTAAAATAATTATATCTTTATTATTATGGTTTCTTGATAACTTTTATTTGTTTGATAAAATAAAGGCTAAACTCCACCATTGGTCCTTCAACTTTATCAATTGTGTACGATTGGTCCTTCAAGTTTTAAAAGTCCATAAATAGTCCTTCAACTTTCTGAGTTATGCACGATTGGTCCTTCAAATTTTAAAAGTGCATAAGTAGTTCTTCAAGTACACGTCAGTCTTCCAGATGAGATCTTTTTTACAGTAAATGTTAAAAGCTAAATGGAATACTAGCTCCATATAATACGGAGTAGTCGTACCTAGTGGAATTTACTCGTATTATATGAAATTAGTATTTCTTTTAACTTTTAATATTTACTGTCAAAAGGACTTTATTTGGAGGGCTGACGTGTACTTGAAAAACTACTTATTGGCTTTTGAAACTTGAAGAACCAATGGTGCAAAACTCATAAAGTTGAAGGACTATTTAATGGACTTTTGAAACTTGAAGAACCAATCGTGCACAACTAATAAAGTTGAAGGACCAATGGTGAATTTTAGCCATAAAATAAATAAAAATATTCTTGTCACATCTTGTTTTGTAAAGATTTTTATATAGTTTTTAAATAAAAAACTTTTATTTTTTTAATCTTTACCAATTTGTGAATAAAATTATTTTAAAAATCACATGATTTTACACGTGGATCAAAGGAGGTAATTCTTTTAGAGATGGAGTATAATTTTATGATGGGAAAGGAATGATGGGCATACGACATTCGGGTTGAACCAAACATTAAAAATACATTGAATTCAATTGATTACTTAATTAGTTCAACTCTAGAGCTTATATATCGATTCATTTTCTCTTTAAGTTCTGATGTGGGATGTTCTTTAACACTCTCACTCAAGTGGATAAATGATCCATTTTGAATCAAACCGGTTGACCACTTGTAAGAACATGGTCAGCGGCGAGGCATTTTCTCGCCTTGGTGTGCCACATCAGCTCAGTCCGTAAATTGCTTCGCGAGGCTTCAGCCTTCGTCCACGCCAAGCGTATGAGGCGCGAGGCATCTTATGGGTTTTCTTTATCTTATTTTTGTAAAAAAAATTTGGCAAAAGAAAGAATTTTTTTTAAAAGGAGTGCATCTATTTTTAAAAAAAGATAATTGAAATAATTTTTAATAATTAATATTCATTATGAAATCATAAAAAGTAACAAAAACGATGACTTGCCATTGCACGATGCCACTCCACTCACTTGCCACATGCTGGCAGGATTATTTTTTATTGGTTGAAAAGTGTCACGTCAACGTGTGACATTCCATTTCATTACTTGCCATTGCCCGTGTTCTAAATAGATTCCCATCCCCATTAATTGAATATTTGAGCAACAACACCTAAAGAATCCCGGGTCACTGGGTATGAACTTAGAGATTAACAATCAAGTTAAATGGGTCACAGACCATTGGGTATATATATTTCCTACGGACAACTGGGCTAAAGATAAACGGGACGCTAGGAATGGACGTCTAGACAAACATCTTGACAAGTGAGGTGAGCCAAAACGTGCTTCGATATTATGACTGAATCTTAAGGTGGAAAAAGAATGAGTGGATTGGGTCATAAGACACAAGAGTTGAATGACACTAAAAGATTAAATCCAATCGATTACTTAATTCAACTCAAGAGCGTATATATCAATTTATTTTCTCTTTAAATTTTGACGTGAGATACTCTTAAACGGTATTTGTCCTGTTTTAACTTTTTGTAGTCAATTACTTTTAATTTTTTACCACTAGTTAAATAAACAACTATAACTCGGTTGAATCACAAAAGCTGTTTCTAAGAGACCCCTGATAACACAAACCCACACAGGCCAGGTGAAGCATCAAGAAACCTACAATGGAGGAAACACAAGTACAAAAGGTCAAGATAATCAATATTAATGAGAGAAAGACATAGCAAGTAGAAAACACAAAGCAAAAAGTGAAACTACCACTCAATCCACAAGTCCCCTACCCAAGTACCCTAATCTTAGTTATCCAAAAATTTCTAGAAACAATCATCCTAAATAGGACTAAAATATAGAAAAAGTATCAAAATAAGAGTTTCATATTTTTATTCTCTAAACATGAGTTCGCACCGTTGTAATGTGGCAGTGTGCATGTGCATTTTACGTAATGTACATGGTCATGATTGGTAATTTAAATGTATTTTAACTCCTATTTCAAAAATAAAAACATGGAACTTCTATTTTTGTATATTTTCAAAGTTTTACTCCTACTTGAGTGTTTTCCCAAATTCTTATACAAGGTCATATCCTCGATATGGGTCACAAATTTTAAATTAGGTCCTCTCTAATTACCATCTTCCAATTTTTCATACGTTTAGTCTTTAAAAATTGTATGATATATTAATTAATTAGATAAAAAAATTTTTTAAACGTATTTTATAACATAAATCTAAATAAATATTTTTGAATCAATATCTAATATTAATTTTATTTTATTATAGTCAAAGATTATCAATTTTGACTGCAAAAAGTAAAGTAAGGGATACGTATTGTTCGTTCACTTTGGTTAGATTTAACCAAGTAGAAATAGAAATCACCTTAAATAGGACTTAAACATAGAGTAAAGAAACCAAAATAGGACTTTCATGTTTTTTTCTCTCGAAATAAGACTTTGCACTGTGGTAATGTGGCACTGTACATGTGCACATTACTATACTTTTTTGGTAATGTACATGACCATGTTTAGTAATGTAAGTCTTATGTCAGGAATAAAAACATGGAAGTCGTATTTTGATATATTTTCAATGTTTTAGTCCTACTTTAATGTGCTCTTTCTCCCTTAACCAAGTTGAACTGAGTTAAATGACCACAAAAATGCTTAATTTAAAATAATTCAAAACTAGGAAGAATTCGTGTTTAACTTTTCAAAAAAAATATTTGACATTTTATAAAAATATTTCGAGATTATATAATTTTTATTAGCACTCCTTAAAATTAAAATATTTTGTGCAAAAAAAAAAACCAGTATTCTAATAGCAATACTCCATAAAAAACCAGTATTCCCCAATTTTGAGGCATATCTTTGATCAATATGCAATTTTGGAGAATTACATTGTTGTTAAAATATCGACTTTCTAGGGGTAGTAGTGATAATTATAATTCTTATAGCATTCTTATAAAATTTCATTTTTTGAGAATTTTTGCATGATTTTTTCTTTAAAACTAATATGTTGCAATTATTATGATACCTCAAATTAGATGGGATATTTTGACACAATTTAATTATTTACACTATTCTTCACACCATTAAATTTGTATTAAGCTATTATTGGACTGTCAATTTAATTATTTGCACTGCTTAGAACGACAATTTTAGCGACGGAATGGTTTTGTCAATTGGCTAGCGATGGAAAAATTTTGTCAATTCAGCTTTTAATCCATTAGGGTTTTTCTCTCTCTAAGCAATGACGGCGAGGAAAAGAGGGAGACCGAAGAAGAAGAAGGCATCGGCGGCAGAAGGAACACCATCGACATATAATAAGGATGAAGGAACTCCATCATCAATTAATAAGGATGCAGATCTGATTGATTCTTCGTCTACGAGTAAAAAAGGTAACCCTATTTCTAGATCTACTGTAAAGGAAAAGGGATTAGGGGATTTGGCTGTAGAGGAAGCATCCAAACGATCCAATGCGGAAGTAGTGGGACCGAGTGAGAATTTGGAGCTGAATTTGAAATATGTGGAAACTGAGGAAATTAATGGGATAACCATGGCAAGAATGTTAAAGGAAGACCTGTTAGAATCCTCTTATAGCTGGGATAAAACCATCCTGTGTTGTGTTCTAGGGGCTAACCCTCCATTGAAAATAATGGATGGATTCTTACGCAGAATCAAAATTGAGGAAATATCAGTTTTGAGAGAAGGGCAATTTGTAGTACATTTTGACAGAGAGGAACATAGAGAGGAAGTCACCAAGAGGAAGTATTATTTTATGGATAATAAACCTATGCTGGTTCAAAAATGAAAGCCAGGAGGAAGGATAAGTCTGGAGGAGTTGTCTGATATACCAATCTGGATTAGACTTCCAGACTTGGACCTGAAATTCTGGAGTCTCAATGGGCTGAGTAAAATTGGAAGCATAATTGGAAAGCCTATCCGAAGGGATAAAGCTACAGCTACAATGTCTAAACTGGGATATGCTAGGATCCAACTAGAAGTGGCCATTCAAAATAATTTTCCAGATAAGGTCATGTTCCTTGATGAGGAGAGTTATCACACAAAGAGTAGAATATGACTGGTGCCCTACAAAATGTGGGAAGTGCCATAAGCTGGGACACTCAGGGGAGGCATGTAGAAATAAGCAGGGGAAAGAGGCTGGGAGCAAGAGTAAAACCATGGTTTGGAGACCTAAAAAGAACACTGAAGATAGAGACAAAGAGATTGCTCAACCAACAGAAAGAGAGGCTGGTATCCTAAAGGAATACTCTATTATACAGAAGGCTACACCAAGGTATGAAGAGGAGTTTCAAACTGTTGATAAAAAGAAAAGTGCCAAGAGAGGTATAGTGTATGAAGAGCAGTTTGTGGGAGGAATAAACAATATATTCCATGATGCCCTTTATGAGGGGCATTACCCCTTTCTTGCATGATTGGTTGCTGGAATATTAGGGGCATGAATAACCCTAATAAACAAGCAGAAATAAGGAGTTTCATTAGTGAGAATAAAATTGGTCTTATGGCTATACTAGAGACCAAAATAAGGGAGAACAACTTTCAAGAGGTGGAAAATAAGGTGGTTAGGAACTGGAAGTCTATCACTAACCATCAGGAAGAATTTGGGTCACTTGGAATCCAAGGGAATACAATATCATAAAAGTAAGAAGTACAGATCAATTGATTCACTGTAAGGTCAGAAGAACTGGAGAAGTCAGCCATGATGATATCACTTTTATCTACGCACATAATGATGCAGCCCAAAGAGTGGATCTATGGGAGGACATTAAGATAATAAACAGTAGTATCAAGGGTGATTGGATCCTGATGGGGGACCCCAGTTGGAAAAGAGGAGATTAAAGAATTTAGAGACTGTATAGACTACTGTGGTCTAGAAGAAATGCCTATGGAAGGGGCTTACTATACTTGGTCGAATAGACAAACGCAAGGGAAAATAATTTACTCCAGAATTGACAGGGCCCTTTGCAACACTGATTGGATGCTTAAATATGGATCCAAGGTGGTGATCAAGGAAGAGGGACTTTCTGATCACTCACCACTAATCATTGTCCAAGGTTTAAATAAGAAAGCGAGAAGCTTTAGATTCTGTGACATGTGGGTACTGGATCAGGATTTCTCCAAAATTGTTCAAAAAGTGTGGGATAAGGACATGGCAGGAAGATTCATGTTTCAGGTCTGCATGAGATTGAAGGAACTGAAGAAACTCCTAAGAAACCTACATAAAAACAGATTTGGGCCTTCGTATCAAAGAAGTGAGGTTATTAGAACTAACCTACAACAGATATAGACAGAGTTGAAGAGGAATCCAGGGGATGGGGCTCTCATTTTAAAGGAGAAGGAACAGATTCAACTTCTCAATAAATCTATAAGGGCAACAGATTTGATGGTTTCCCAGATGTACAAGGGGGAATGTGTTAGAATAAGTGACCAACGCTAGAGGGGGGGGTGAATAGCGTTTGATCGTAGAAATCGCAGGAATAAAAAATTAAGAACGTGAAAAGTAAAGAGTGTAGAAAGCGTAAAGGGAGCACACCAAGATTTATACTGGTTCACCACAACGTGTGGCTAATCCAGTCTCCCGAGAAACTCTCTCGAGCTACACTACTTCCGTTAAGCTTACGGGTGCTTAACAAACCGTTACAACCTGAGAACTCGAGTCCCACGAGNACTCAAGAACAAGGCTCTCTTTTAGAGTAGATGTTGAGTAAACTATATACGCTCAAGAACAACTCAAACTTCACAAATTGGCTCTAGAAAGCTATGAAAAATGATGTTGTTTGAATGCAATGATAATATGAATATTGTGAAGTGAATTGATGAGAAAAGCAGACCCAAACACCCCTTTTTATAGTTCCAAAGTAGGCTCCAACGGACCAATACATTAAAGGGGTGATTGGCTTGATTTATGGGATTGAATAAATTTGGGATCTGCAGGATATTGGCTTCTCATCGATGTTTAGAACTTACCCATCGCTGGTAAGCCAATTTTCCTTCAGTTTTGAAGCCAACGGTTACCTACCCATCGATGGGTATAAGCTTCTCATCGCTAGGTGGGAGGTTGACTTTCAAACAAGGAAAGAATCAGCCTTAAATGACTTGCAACGGTCATGCCTTCCCATCGATGGTTTATCCTTACCATCGTTGGGTTCCCATCGATGGGATAGGTTTCCCATCGCTGGGCAAGGTTGTTCTGCCTTGTGTTAATGTTGCACCAAGGCTTTAACAGCGATGGGTAGAACTTCCCATCGCTGTTTGGCATGGTTCTGGAATTCAATTGGGTTGAAGGCTGCTTACCCATCGCTGGGTAATATCTCCCATCGCTGGGTGGAATGATTCTGGAATCCCGGGATCACTTACCCATGGATGGGTGATATCTACCATCGCTGGGTAGATGGCTAGCCCATAACCATGGCCTAGCTGACCGGCGCTGAAACCCGACCGAAAAATGCAAAGTTCTCCAAAGTAAAAACTAAGTATATAAAACACTTATTTAATGTATTGTGATGTCAAAACAAGCTTTGTAAGTTGAAAACCACGTCATTAAGGTAAAAACCACGGTTGACCAAGTCAACACCGTACACGGGTGGTTTTCACCAAAAGACTAAACCGAAAGGTGGTTTTCATGATGTTTTGATTGGAGAACCATTTAAATACATTCAGAAACAAATCTTACACAAAAAGACTCGAAAACCACTTCATTTAAGTAAAAACCGCGGCTAGCCAAGTTTATGCCGTTTCGCATGGTTTTTATCAAACGACGGAAAACGAAAGGTGGTTTTTGAAGTGTTTTTGATGGAAAACTGTTTAAGTGTGCCCAGAAGTAAAAACCAATCATAACAAGTTGAAAACCACTTGGTTAGTTCGGACGCCAAAAACCAACGCTGAAAACCGAATGCCGAACGCCGGTTTCTGAAACCCGAACGCCGGATGGCTTTGTTTTTGGTTTGGGCGAACACCAAGTGTTTTTAATGTTTTAAACATGTTTTAAAAACATTTTTATGATGTGAAATGCAATGAAGAGAATTTTAGCCTAAAGAGCCAAGGTGTAAAGATTGGGTCGGTCTTGATCACAATTGTGACCGACTCAACGACACCAAGACTACGGTCTTCGTTCTTGGTCTTCTTTTGGCCCTTGTTCTCTTTCTTCTCATCTTTGGTTATCGCCTTGTATATTCAATGACTTGTCTCGTTCACGGCGGTTTGGCATTATCAAAACCTGTCATAACAACGAACACGGCTTTAGTACGAAAACATGATAAACCCGTATTTCAACAGAATGGATCAGAGATGGGGACAAAAATTCTAAATTTTTTTTCTCTTGGATTAAGAAGAGAAGAGTACAGAACCAGGTACTGACCATCAAAAATAAAGATGGGCAGACAGTAGATGGAGGGGAGAAGGTGGCAAAGGTTATGTTGGAATACTATACTGAATTGTTGGGCACAAATATTGAAACTGAAAATGTTTGTGCTGAGGCCATGAATACGGGATGCAAACTTAGTATTGAACAGTAGTTAAATCTAATAGAGGAGATTAGAGGGGAACAGATCAAGGAAGTTATCTTTGGAATCCCCAATAAAAAGAGCCCAGGACCTGATGGCTTTAGTAGTGGTTTTTTTAAACACCAATGAACAGTAGTAGGAGAATTAATCACTAAGGCTGTTCTGGATTTTTTCAAGACTGGTAAAATCTTCAGACAGATAAATTCAACCAGATTGACATTAATCCCAAAGGTGGAAGCTCCTTCTATGGCTAATGATTATAGGCCTATTGCGTGTTGCAATGTGCTGTACAAGATTATCTCCAAAATTCTGTGTAACAGACTGAAGGCTGTACTCCCTGAGATAGTGGGACAAAATCAGGGGGCATTTGTTCAGGGGAGGAAATTAGCTCACAATGTATTGCTCTGCCATGAACTTATGAGAGGGTATAAGAGAAAAGGTATCTCCCCAAGATGCATGATTAAGCTAGACATCAGGAAGGCTTATGATTCTGTGGGGTGGGAAGCCATTATTCAGATCATGGAGTTGCTCAGTTTTCCTCATCAATTTGTTAACTGGGTTAAACAATGCATTACTACTCCTACTTATTCTATCCAGCTGAATGGTGAAGATTATGGTTACTTTCAAAGGAAGAGAGGGATTAGGCAAGGGGACCCTATATCACCCTTACTCTTCGTTCTGATTATGGAATATCTCAGTAGGTTGCTGCAACAGTTGAAGCACAACAAGCTTTTCAGATTTCATCCTATGTGTGGGACACTAAAACTGATAAATTTGTGCTTTGCAGACGACCTAATAGTAGTTTGTAGAGCAGATGAGAATTCCATCCAGTGTGTTATGAAGGTGCTTCATAAGTTTCAAAGAACAATAGGACTGAGTATCAACAAAGCTAAATCACAAATTATTTTCGGAGGGGTTGATAAGAGTACTCAAGACAGGCTTCAGAAGATGATAGATATTCCCATTGGAGAGTTCCCACTCAGATACTTAAGGAGCCCAATTACAGCTGCAAGGGTCAGTGAGAAGGAATGTGAAAGGCTAGTTCAAAACATCACTTCTAAGATTAATTCCTGGGCAGTTAAACACCTATCTTATGCAGGGAGATGTAGACTAGTTGGTAGTGTCCTACAAGGTATTATGACCTTTTGGTGCAAATTATTCATAATACCAACCAAGGTCATGAAGAGGGTACAAAGCATTTGTAGAAATTTCCTGTGGGGGGCTACCGCTAGTTATACCAAAAGACCTCTGGTTAATTGGGAAGAGGTTTGCTTACCCAAAACTTATGGAGGATTGGGTTTGAGAAATATGGAGCTATGGAACAGAGCTTATATTTACAACTATTGGTGGGATGTGGCTAACGACAAGAAGAACCTATGGGTCAAATGGATCCATGAAAGATATATTAAGAATGATATTGAAAGCTGTGCAGTTCGATCAGAAAGATTGCTGTTTTTATTGGAAGAAGATTATTCATAACAGAAAATGGTTTGAGAATATGGGGATCTCCAAGGAATATACTACTGAACAGGGATATGCCTGGCTCCTGGGACTGAAGAATAAACCTGATTGGTACCCAATAGTCTGGAACAAGTTATCAATCCCGAAGCATCAAGTTATACAGTGGCTGATCTGCAGAGATAGACTTGGTGTTAAAACTAAAATCCAAAGGTTTATAGATATAGACACTACATGTTACTTGTGTGGCCAAGGAGAGGAAGATGTAAATCATCTCTTCTGTACCTATCAATTTGCCAGGGGGATCTTTGGTAGAATATCTGATTGTCTGGGTTATAAATTTGAAGGGATGGAGTTGGCAGAGGTTAGAAACAACCTGTTGAATATGAAGGGCAAGAACAGACAAAAAGCTATCAGCTGCTATGCAGCTATAGCAGCTACTTGTTACCACTTATGGAGAGCCAGAAATAAACTTCTACATGCCAAGAGCAGCACAGTTGAGGAGGAGCTAGTCCACTGTATCCTATACCAACTGAACGCCTATTGGGGAAGAGTAAGAAGTAGGGAGGATAGTTAGCATGTGGTAACAAATTACATGTAATAGTTAATTTCTGTTTGATGTAAACCTCTGTTTCTTGGTTATTTGAATGAAGTGGTGCATTTGGTTCAAAAAAAAATTTGTCAAGTCTCTTCACTAATTCTTTTAACAATAAATCTTACAATATAATAAATTTTTTTACACATTTGGTTTTCTTGCGCCTGAGGTCGTGGAGCAAGAATTGCTGAAGTCATAAACAAAAATCACAAAATACACAATCTTACTATTTTTTATCTCACCAAAGGACTAAAATTATTTTAAATAATTAAAAAGTAGAAGTTTAAAAATATAAATGATAAGTTTATGAATTTTGTGACCATTGTAATTGTGACTTTAACATTTCTTGAACATTGTGTTTGGTTTAAGGAAAATAAAAGGGGAAAAAAAGAAAATGAGAAAAAAAAATTGTTTAGTAAGAGAGAAAAGTAAAGAGGAACAAAAAGAAAATTAACACATAATGTACAATGAGGAAAGAAAATGCGACATCTCCTGAGGAAAACCAGATAAAATCATTTTCTTTTCTTATATTTTTGAATTTTTTTTATCTCTCTGAATTCTTTAAACTAAACATAGTGTAAAACTCCCTAATCCTCTAAATTTTAAGGCCCATTGCAAAACGACGTAGTAAACTCCCATTTGGGCGGGCCTGGAAAATGTGAAAAGTCTATTGTTTTAATAGAAGTGGCGGATTAGAGAATGAGTTGTGGCCCAATAGCTGGTTCGTTTCAAATATTCTTCTTTTTTAGAAAAAAATTGGTGTAATAGAAACTTTCTCTTCAATAAATAAATTATCCTAAATAAGTGTAAAATATAAAGAAATTTCAAAATAAGAGTTATATATTTTTCTCTAAATAAGACTTTGCACTGTGGTAATGTCCCACTGTAAATGAGCATTTCACTTTATATTTTTTTTGTAATATACATGGTCATTATTGGCAATGTAAATCAATTTTAACTCCATTTCAGAAATAAAAACATAGAACTCCTATTTTGAATTTTTTTCAATATTTTATTCATACTTTTATCTTTTTCCTTCTTCAATAAGATTTTTTTTAAACTTCAACAAGCATTAATTACATGCTACTATATGATAGAAAGTACCTAGTATCTTATAATTGACATTGTTTCCCGGTAGTCTTCTATAAAAACTATTCTTTAAATAATTGTTAAGTAGTACGGAGTAGTTATATAATTTTTATATTTTTTATCGTCTAGATTTAGACAAAGTTCTCCAAATAGTTCTAATTAAGTATTCCCAATTTGGTCTTCTGATGTTATAATTATAATTTCACTCGAAAATGATTGAAACATAACAAAAACATAACAAAAAGAAAAAAAAAATAGAACTATCACTATTAATCTGTCAAATAAAACTCATAATATCAATAATGCGAGAAAAGGGTTTCAAGTTAAAGAAATTCTCGGGTTTCAAGTTACCTAGGGATGTCTATGCTTGGTGCAACAAAAGGGGAACTGTAAGAGAAATTTCCCAAAACGAGGCAAATTAAATAAGAACTGACAGGATAAGCAGTTATGGAAGAGACAGGTGACTCATCTGAGGCCAATTACTTTCTATCAATGGATTACGTCACGCTTCACCTAGATGTGTAGGTTCTTGACTCTGTAGCTTCTTATCACATTTATTCTAAGAGGGAGTTATTCTCAAGCTACTGCTAAACGAATGAAGGTTTTGTTCACATGGCAAATGAGGCTGTTTGTAAGATAGTAAGAAGATGCTCAGTTAGATTCCTTGTAAATTTATGTGAAATAAAATATTGAAGGTAAATTCTTGTTATGTGTATTCTCAAAAGATCTCCCCCTTTATATAGGATGGGAGTGCAAACATACAAGGAAACAAACTTCTAATCAAACTAGGAAAAACACTTCTAATTAAACTAGGAAACAAGATCACAAGAAGTAGGAAACCGAATCCTACAAGGATTCGGCCTTGGTGTAGCGTGAGGCCCAAGACTCGGCAATACCCCCCCTCAAGCTGGTGCATGCGGATTACGGATGCCCAGCTTGGGCAACAGACGATCAAATGTAGGAGACGGAAGTGCTTTAGTGAAGAGGTCGGCGGGCTGATCAACGGAAGCAATGTGAGACGTACGAAGAATACCACGCTGAATTTCATCACGAACGAAATGACAGTCTATCTCAATGTGCTTTGTACGTTCATGGAAGACGGGGTTTGCAGCAATGTGAAGGGCGGCTTGGTTGTCACAGTAAAGTGTCATAGGAGCAGTATGTCGTATCCCGAGTGAGAGAAGGAGGGACTGTAACCATTTAAGTTCGCAGACGGTGGTGGCCATGGCGCGGTATTCAGCTTCAGCAGAAGAGCGAGAGACCGTGTGTTGTTTCTTTCTACGCCATGATACTGGGGAGTCACCAAGTTTAATAAAATATCCTGTGACTGAGCGTCGTGTAAGAGGGCAGCTGGCCCAATCAGAGTCACAAAAGGCGGTGAGAGTAAGATCACTACGGGCTGAGAGAAACAAACCTTGGCCAGGCCGATGCTTGAGGTAGCGAACAGTGTGCATAGCGGCATCCCAATGTTCCTGCTGTGGGGACCCCATGAACTGAGAAAGCGTATGTACGGCATAAGCAAGGTCGGGACGGGAGATAGTCAGATAAATGAGGCGGCCGACCAGTCTGCGAAACTGCCCAGCCTTGGCTTGTCCCAATTCTGTCCAAGTCGCCAAAGCTAAACGGTGGTTCACCGGAAGGGGCGCTTTAGCCGGTCGGGAACCAAACATCCCTGTTTCAGTCAAAATATCCAATGTGTATTTACGTTGGCACAGGAAAATGCCGTGTGTTACGCGGGCGACTTCAATACCCAGAAAATATTTCAATGGCCCCAAATCCTTCATATGAAACCGAGTGGATAAAAACTGTTTAAATTGAACAATATAGTGTTCATTACTTCCAGCAATTACCAAGTCATCCACATAAATGAGAACACGAAGCTCCACACCCCCCCCCTGACGAGAACAAATAAGGAGTAGTCAGCCTTGGACTGAACAAACCCAAACAAACGTAAAGCGGACGTTAATTTTGCAAACCAGCAGCGTGGAGCCTGACGTAGACCATAGAGAGACTTATGAAGGCGACACACCAATCCTTGTTGACGTGCAGAGGACCCGGGAGGTAATCGCATATATACCTCATCATCAAGATCACCATGGAGAAATGCATTATGAACATCCATCTGGTGCAAACTCCAATTCCGGGCCGCAGCAACCGCAAGGAGCATATGGGCAGATACCAATTTGGCAGTGGGTGCAAATGTTTCTTTGAAGTCAATGCCTTCCTTTTGTTTGTTGCCCAGCACGACCAGACGTGCCTTGTAGCGTTCAATTGTTCCATCCGACTTATGTTTGATTTTGAACACCCACTTGGAACCAATCGCCTTTTTACCGCGCGGAAGAGGCATGAGTGTCCATGTTTGATTATCCTCCAGTGCTTGTATTTCATCTTTCATTGCTTGCCGCCATTGGGGGTGCTAGAGTGCTTCAGAAAAATGGGTTGGCTCGACCTCTGCACTGATCGCTGCCAAAAAAGCTCTATGCGACAAAGTAAAATTGTCATAATTAACAAAATTTGTAATACAGTGCTTAGTACCTGAAGACGTGGTTGGAGGCAGAGAGGTACTCGAGGGTCCTTGAATGGCGTGAACCACGAAGTCACGAAGTCGCGTAGAAGGTTTTTTATCACGGGTACTACGACACAAAAGAACGGGAGGAGACTGGGTAGACTCGGGTGTGGTGTCGGTAGGGGTTTCAATGGTATGATCAGGGCTAGACTCGGGTGTAGATTGATTGACAGACTCAGGAAGAGACGTTGGCTGTGGAGGTGGACGTGTGGCGAGGGACGCCGGCTGATCCTCGTCGTCGTCGATGGCGAGGGAGATGTCAGCCGTGTCGTCCGGAGCTTCAGGCGAGGGAATATGGAAGGGAAAGTGGTTTTCACAGAATTTGACAACCCGACTTGTGAACACTTTGTAATTGTCCAAGTCAAGCAAACGCCACCCTTTCTGTCCAAATGGATAACCAAGGAAGACACATTTTCTAGACCGACTAGCAAATTTGTCACCGTGATGACTTTGTTTATGGGCGTAGGCGAGGCAACCAAATGTGCGAATATGAGTATAAGATGGTGGTTGACCAAGAAGGACTTCATAGGGTGTTTTATTGTCGAGGATAGGTGTAGGGGTGCGATTTATCAAGTAGCCAGCGGTAAGAATGCAGTCCCCCCAATATTTGATGGGCAAGTTGGCTTGAAAACGTAAGGCACGCGCCACGTTAAGAATATGGCGATACTTATGTTCCACCCTCCCGTTTTGTTGTGGGGTTCCTACACACGATGTTTCAAACAAGATACCCTGGGAATCAAAGAAGGATCTCATGCAAGTGAATTCAGTTCCATTATCACTACGGATGATTTTGACTTTTGTTCCAAATTGTCATTCGACCATAGTGAGAAAATTTTGAAGGACTGATGGTGATTCATCTTTGTTATTTAGCAAATAGACCTAGACAGCCCTCGAGAAGTCATCGACTATGGTTAAGAAGTATCTTGCCCCAGTTCTAGACGGAGTTCTATAACCACCCCACAAATCACAATGAATTAAATGAAAAGGAATAAGAGCTTTATTAGAACTAACTGGAAACGAATCTCGACTCTGTTTGGAGCGGAAACACACATCACAAGGAAGATTGTTTACATGATTTTTAGAGGAAATATGAGGAAGGAAACCAAGAACAGAATAAGAGGGATGTCCCAAGAGTTTGTGCCAAGTTCCCGCGATGTCTTCCATCCGTACGACACACGCTTTTCCGGTCACGCCTTCTTGGAAGAAGTATACGCCCCCAAGTTGCCTACCCGCTCCAATCACCGTCTTCGAGGCATAATCCTGTATAAAACACACTTTGTTAAAAAATTGGACAATCAAACTTTTATCACGTAAAAGCTGTGAGACAGAGATCAAATTGCAGTTGAGTTTGGGCACAAGCAAGACGTCTTCCAGAATCAGTGTGCTCCCCAGCCGCACACGGCCCTTCTTTGTGGCCGCAACATGGTCACCGTCCGGGAGGGTGACGGCACAATGTTTCATTTGTTCAATGTTGGTCAAGTTTTCTTCGTTTCCTGTCATGTGTTGGCTAGCACCGCTGTCTATAATCCAAGAGGTAGTGTGATTACTTGAAAATTGGTTGTCAAGAGGAATTTCCTTTTCTTTTATGAGTTTCATCAAGGAACTCCATTGTTCAGAGGTAAAAGGTTCTTTCGTGCTGCTTCCTTCTGTTCGAGCAGTGTGGGCTGCAGCATTGGTTCCAAAACCAGTCCCTGTGTTCCGGTTATTGCATCCGCCTGGTGCTCCGGTTCTGCCACCATGCCGTCCTCCCCCGCGTCCACTTCGGCCTCCTCCTCGTTCAGTGAACTGTCCGCGGGGTCGATCACCCCACCAGTCCGGATATCCAATTAACTGAAAACAGCCGCTCACCTCGTGTCGAGTCATCCCACAATGTTTGCATTTTACTTCCTTCGTAACGTCCCAATTAGTTCGATTGAAAACGGCAAAGCTGACCGGGTTTTTCTCCTCGTCCTGGGTGGTCACTTTAAGCACTCCTTCTTGTTGTATAATAGTCGAGTAAACACGGTTAAGGGGTGCGAGCGGAGTGGTGCTCAGAATATTGGATCGCACGCCGCTATATCCTTCGTTGTCGAGTCCCATCAAGAATTGGTGCACTTTTTCATCCTCCTTTTGTGTCTCGATTGTCTTGATGGTCCCACACTTGCAGGCTCGACATTTGGCGCACATAGGGAGTTTCTCGATTGTCCCCAGTTCATCCCATATATTCTTCATTTTTCCGAAATAAGTGGCAATAGGCTGTCCACTTTGTTTGCAGCATGCCAACTCTTCTTTGAGTTTATTTACACGCGGTCCGTTGGCTATCGAAAACCGCTCCTTGATGTCGTTCCATAGTTCTGCCGCTTCCTCCACTTGTGTGATCGAGTTTCGGAGTGTGCCATCTATGGTGTTGAAGATCCATGACACCAACATCGCGTTCACGATCCACCATTCTTCAGCCTTTTCTTCGTTGTCTTCGGGCAACGGAATCGTCCCATCAATGAATCCAAGTTTTCTTTTGGCACGAAGTGCAATGCGCACGGCCCGAGCCCATTCTTCGTAGTTTTCACCCGTCAATTTGATCTGGGTGATTACTAACGCAGGTGTATCTGCTGATCTCAGTTCGTAAGGGCTTACCCTTACAAATTCTTCTTCGCCGGTTCCCTTTGAGAAGGGGTTGTCCGATGAGACTTCGGCCATCTTCCCGATTGGATCACGTCAACTGCTCCGATACCATGTAAAGGAACCATCTCAACCAAAAGCTCAAGCTTGTGGTTGTGGCCCAGGAACAGTTATTTATATTCTAACATTACTGAACCAGATATGTACTTTCAAGGAGGTTAGACACGTTTCACTAGTCACAAAGAATGTTATTTCCTAGGGCTACTCGCTAGAAAGGGTTTCAATTCCAAATGTGAAGATAGAGACTTATATGTCTACAAAGGTTCAAAGACACTACTCAAGAGAGTTAAGGATGGGGCTCTATACCTATTAAAGGGTTCGCCGATAACAAGTTCAGTTGGAGTTGTCTTAGTCGAGGTACAAGAAGCTGATCATATTAAATTACATCATATGAGACTCGGTCAAATGAGAGAACATGAGATGCACGAACTAAACTAAAAGGTGAAAAGGCTGTCGCAGACAATAGGTGTTGTGTTTATGGCATGTTATTTTGTAAATCGGAGTCCTCACACTAGCATTAATTGCAAGATACTGATAGAGTTATGGTCTCGAAAAGCTGTTGATTATTTGGATCTTAGGCGTTTCGGATGCAAAGCCTATTATCATAGAGATGATGGGAAGCTATAGCCAAGAGCAAAAAAAGGGATTTTCATGAGCTTTGGGACAGGTGTAAAACGATATATGATCTAGTCGGATGGGAAGATCATACTCGGTAGGAATATGGTCTTTAATGAGAATCTGATGCTAAAACCAACCGTGGAGATAGAGGTTAAAGCTACAAAGAAGAAAGTGGAGTCAACGTCAGGTTCGGATAATCCTAAAGAACTTGAAACACCATCATCAGCTAAAAAACTGAAGAGCAAGAATCAGAGGAGTTTGAAGAGAATGCACCATTAGAGGAACAAGTGCATGAAAGTATTGTTATGAGTCGTGCAAAGAGAACTACAAAGTTACTTGCGAGACTCAAAAATGACTACCTGGTGCGGTATACTCTACAACGAGCCGAAGAGGTGGAGGATGAGTCGTCCACCTATCAAGCCGCGATTACTAGTTATGAGCCGACATAATAGATTTCCGCGATGGGAGAATAGATGAAATCTCTTAGCAAGAACTCAACTTGGGAACTTGTTTCATTGCTACAAGGGAAAATGATAGTCACTTGTAAGTAGGTTTTTAGAAGAAATGATGGAATTACTAAAGTAGAAGGCATCAAGTATAAGGCAACATTGGTTGCAAGATGGTTCAATTAGAAAGGGGGAGTTGACTACAATGAGATATTCTCACCAGTGGTCACACACACTTCGAGTAGGAAGCAACTAGTAATCGTGGCATACTAGGACATGGAACATGAGCAACTTGATGTGAAATTTTCTTTCTTACATGAAGATGTGGAAGAAGAGATATACATGAGACCATCTGTGCAAGTTAAAAGTCCTTTTACGGAATAAAGCAATCTTACATGTAGTTCTATAAGAGATTCGATAGCTTTATGCAGAAATTAGGCTATGAGAAGTGTGAGTATGATTGGTACGAGTATCACAAGAACTTGCATGGTGGATCACGCATTTACCTAGTTCTATATGTGGCTGATATTATAAATTGCAACTCAGAATATCAAGGACATTAGGAAACTAAAGAGGTCTCAGCTCTTAGCACAAAATTCGAGATGAAGGATTTTGTAGTTGCTTGGAAAATCCCAAGAGTTAAAATCTATAGAGGTAGAAAGAAAAGGAAGCTCTTCTTGCCACATGAGGATTAAATCAAGAAAACTTTGCACGAAATTGGGATGAAAACCTCCATGCCTATAGATACTACTATGGCGGCTAACAACAAGCTAGGAATGTACATCTTTCAGTCTAAGAAAGAGAATAAGTACATATCCAAGGTTCTATATGCTATCACAGTTTGAAGCCTCATGTATGCTATGGCTTGCACTCAACCTGTTATAACATTCATTGTTAGCGTAGTCAGTCGATTAGGTCAGTGCATGTGGGCAGTCGGACCAAGTAAGAGTCTAGTGAGTCTTTGTGACAAGAGACATTGGGGGTGAAGAAGACAAGCTTTTTTATGAGAAGAGAAGCGCACATTTCTGACTAGAGAATTCAAGTCAAGATAGAGATTTGTTAGTCTTTATGACTTGAATTAGAAAGTCAATGTCAGTTACACTTGGTAACGTGTAAAGACAACTATTATTTGAATCCTAGTCCTAGTAGAAATATGTTATGGTTGGTCTAGCTTAGTATTATAAATAGGACCTCCATGAGGTCAATAGTTGGGGCTTATGCACATCAATTATATTAAAGCTTTTCTTGTGAAATAAAAGTCGTTCTTCACTGAACTTGTGTGTTTTAATATTTTCGATGTCATTGTAAGGTGGAGAATTCTTAAAGCTAAAATTCATTGACACAAAAAAAGATATGATCGATAGCATTTTGAAACTATGAAAAATTCATAAATAAATTTTAAAAAGAGTGATTTGGATCTAATTTCTCAAATCATAGAGACAGACGAACTATTTATCTCACTTTCACATTTGTTAAACATACATAATTAATGGCAAATAGAATAGCACCACCTTAGATGAACTTGGATTAGGGCACTGGAAATACTTATGAAGCCCGGGGCTTCAAACCTTCTCTCTCTGCCACGTCAGTTTAAACTTATTTCACAGTTTCAGTGGAAATTGGTTTGAAGCCCCGGGGCTTCAAACCTTCATTTTTTACATTTTAAATACACATCTTCTAAAATTCAATTAATTAAATATAAATATTTAATTATTTAAAAGAATTGAAATGATAATAGTTCATTAAAAAATTGCATTCATTATAAAAAATTACATTTATTAAATAAAAAAATTACATTCATTATAAAAACTACATTCATTAAATAAAAAAATTATACTCCCTCCGTCCCGGAAAACATGGTAGTTTTAATTTTGAAAGGAGATTTAAGGGGAGTGTATTTTGGTATTGAATTTCCAAAAATGTCCTTTGATGTGATGGGTAAAAGTATGATTTGATGGATAGATTATTAGTAAAAAGGTATGATGTGATAGGTAGGGTATGAAAAAGTAAGGGGTAAAAGTAACTTTTTAATAGAAATGAGAAGTATTTTTTGGGACGGATGTAAAAAGAAAGAAGAAAGGTTTTCTGGAACGGAGGGAGTATTCATTAAATAAAAAAATTACATTTATGAAAAACTAAAAAATACTTGAATAATAATTTTTTAAAAACGATGATAGATAAAGAGAAATTTGTATTTGTGTTGAATTTTAAAAAAAATTACTCCCTCCGTCCCAAAGTATTTGTCCACTTTCATTTTTACACACCATCCAATACACTTCTTTAATCCATTTTATCTTGTAATTATTTGTATATTAAAAAATTATAAAAATTATATATTAATAATCTATATGTTAAGACAAATCAAACAAGATCACACATGACTATATTTAGGCTTACACATTTAGAGAATTTGAGGAGTCAAAGTGCTTAAATTAGTTCCAAAAGTCAAAAGTGACGAATATAGCGGGACGGAGGGAGTAATTTAGTTTATAGAGAAGAAAAGAGGAAAAAAGAGGGAGAAAAAAGAAGGAAAAAGGCGTTAAAACACCTTCAATACACGTCAAAACTTTAACGCAAAAGTTTTAACGCCCCCCGATAACGGGGAGGGGAGCGGTGTTTAATGACCCAGGCGTCAAAGTCACTATAACGTGGTTGGGCGTAGCCCATTACCACTGCTCTTATTACACAATAAATTAGGCTAAATAGAATAGCACCACCTTAAATGAAGTCGGATCATTACACAATAAATTAGGCTAAATAGAATAGCACCACCTTAAATGAAGTCGGATTATTACACACAATAAATTAGGCTAAAGGATGACCAGTGTTGACATCCTTATATACTTAGGGAGGGGTACATTTTAAAGTTAAAAAAAAAACACTTCCAATAATTTAATTGGAACCTTATTGTCATCAACTGACATATTGCATGAACTCCATGTCCTTCTCAAGTCCGGCCATAGTCTCCGGTGCCAAAACCACCTCGAGATCTATGCTCCCATTTCCCTCCCGGCCGGGGAAGGCGGAGATCTTACCATCAAACTTATTGGCGTTGCCGCTACGGACCGCCAGGGGCCGGCCCCATCCAAAATCGCTGTCGTACATCGGGAACCTCGGGGAGCTTCCCATGGTGATCATCGCACCATCGAAGTTCCCCAAAGGGAACACCCTTGGGTTGCTCTCCCACTCGCGTATGCCACGGCGCACCGAGGCATCGTTGTGGGCCACCACATTCTGGTGAAGCCTGTCAGCGGCCCAGCTCAAATCGCGAGATAAGAGCTCGGCCGCTGTGGCAACTGTGGGAATGCTCTGGATCGCATTCCCAAAATACAATGTCTCGAGCCGCGGCTCGAGACGGTGCCTGCAGTTTATCGCCATCCTGAAGGTCGTTGTCTTACTCCCCTCCAGCTTCCGGGCCCGCGTCACCGACCTCCACAACTGAGCACACAGAGACTGAAAACACGAAATCTCCGCGCCATTTTTTAAACCCGCCCCGTTAAGTCTACCCCCGCCATTCTCGCCGTTACATGGCTTCCCGTTATTCGCTCTCGACTTGAGCCTCACTATAGCCTCCCGGCGGAAGTGGAATATCTTCTCACGTATAGGCGCGTTGCCGGAGAACGTTGTTGCCGGACCACCGACCGGAAACCTAAGAACCTCCGGCGAATCGAACACGGTGTCGCGGCCGAAATCCGGAACCCTCGTTATCCTCTTCACTCCACGGCAAATCTCCGCGTAAGTGTTGAAGAAATTCCAAAAGGAGGTCCCGTCCACGACCGCGTGGTTCATGGTGCAGGCGACGAAAACGGCGTCGCCCATCTCAGTCACCTGCACCGCGAGAAGCGGTTTCGAATGCCCCGCGTAGCTGAGCGTGTCATCATACTGAAAGAACGCACGGAAGTACGGTGGCACGTCAGCACGCGGGGGGAGGAGGAGGAGGGAGGAGGAGAGGCCCGGAGCTCTAGCGTGCACAAACTCGACGCCCTCGTCGTTGGGGGAGACGTACACGTGGCCATTGGCGTTGGTGTGGAGGCGGCCGGTGAGAGGGGGGAAATGGGAGAGAGCCTGGGAGAGAGAGAGCTTGAGGAGGGAGATGAGGGCGGGGGAATCGAGGGGAGGTTTGGGTAGCAAGACACCCTTTTGGATGTACTGGCAGGACAACATGGGAAGGTCCGAAACTGAGAGCTTCAAGTGTTTGGGGTTTGGGGATTTGTGTTCTGGGTAGACTGTGCATTTGGAGACCACGGCAATGCAAGAAGAAGGCATTATTGTTTTTCTTTCCTTCGTTCCTCTCTCTCTCTCTCTCTAGAAGTGGAAAACTATACTGTATGTATATGGGATGGGGAAATAGGTTTGGAAGATGGGTACATATAGCCAAATAGGGAAATTGGTTCAAGCACTTGCGCAAATAAATGCGTTAGATTCTTAGAGAGGATCTCACATTAGAAATGAAAAAAAGTAAATTCCATAAAACGTCCCTAGTTATAGGTCGTTTTATATATTTAGTTCTTACATAACAAATATTACTAATTTAGTCTCCAATTATTATACTACCTCCGTCCCACTCTCTTTGTCCACTTTTGACTTTTGGAACTGTTCATCTAAGCACTTTGACTCATCAAATTCTCTCAATGTGTAAGCCTAAATATAGATCTTGTTTGATTTGTCTCAACATATAGATTATTAATACTCCCTCCGTCCAAAATTAAAGTTCTCATTTTGACCGATTTTATTTTTAATTCAATTTATTTGATTGTAAGTGTAAAATTAAAAAATAAAATTTATATATTTAAAAACTACATCAAAAGTTCTACAAAACAAATGGTGACAAGAATATATTATTTTATCAAATACCTAATGAAAATAGGTAAAGTAAGTGATTAAAGTTTGACCATGTGAATAGTAAGTGAGAAGAACATTTCAGTACGGAGGTAGTAATAAATTTAGGATTATTTGTTTTGGAGTGTTCTCAAGTTTGTGATATACACTTTCAAAGTTTCAAACGGCCCCTACTTGAATTTGAGTTGGGGGGTTCTTTCATCTTTATTACCCTCCGTAGAGTAGTACTGACCACTGACTCTTGTTTTTGCCTACTTTTACACTTGATATTTGATACTTCCTCCTTCCCAAAATATTTGTCATACTTGCTTTTTCAGCCGTCGTGGAAATTTTTGTTTATTTTTATTTTTTATTGGTTATTTGATAAAATAAAATATTTTTGACACCTCTTATTTCGAAGAACTTTTCATGCAATTTTTTTATAAGTAAATTTTATTTTTTCTTTCTATACCAATATGTAAATAAAATAAATTGAAAAAACTTGATATTTTATCTCGGGAATACAAGTGTGACAACTATTTAGGGATCGGAGGAAGTAATAACGGATGCCAATTTGGCTTGGTACATTACGGTTGCATACGCGGCTTCATTTTTTAGGGAGGGGTATGGAAGACTTAGGACCCTAGTCTCTGCGAAAACTTTATGATAGTACTTTTTTTTTGAAAGTTTGTTGCAGTAATTTTTTTTGGAGCATGCTACATGTTCCTAAAATTTGTACATCAAAGGTATCCACCAACATTTTGATGGTTTACACTGACATAAAGTATCGGTGCAATAAAAAAAATTTACATGGACACAAAGTGTTAGTGCGTTAACAAAACTTAGCATTACACTGAAAGAATTGTTTGGGAGGAAATTCTCTGTATTTCTCTCTTGTCTTTACAATTTACAATGAGGACATATATATAGGATCTCACAAGTTGAGACTCCTAATAAGTAAAGGAAAAGGAAAAGGAAAAGGAAAAGGAAAAGGAAAAGGAAAGAATCCCTATACAAGGAAAACTACCAAAACAATATATACACAAATATCTCCAAATATTCTACCAAATATTCTCTTTTCTTTAACACCCCACCTCAAGTTGGAGCATGTAGTAACGAAATGCCCAACTTGGGAAGAAGAAACTCCAAACGTGACTTTCCGAGTGCCTTTGTATGAATGTCTGCAAACTGATGCGTAGTAAGCACATGAAGTGTACGAATCTCTCCTCGCAAGAGCTCATCACGAACAAAGTGACAATCAGCTTCGTGTGTTCGTGGAAAACCGGATTAGCAGCAATGTGAAGTGCTGCCGTGCTGTCACACCGGACCGTCATGGGGTCCTTATGCTCAACCCCTAAACACCGCAAAACATTCTTCAACCACTTCAACTCACATGTAAGGGCAGCCAAAGCTCTATACTCCGCTTCAGCAGACGAGCGAGCCACCGTCGATTGCTTCTTTGTTTTCCATGAGACAGGCGAGTCTCCAAGCTGCACAAACCACCCTGTGAATGACCGCCTCGTCAAAGGACATGCTGCCCAGTCCGAATCACACCATCCTGTGAGTTGAAGACTACTCTCTGCTGACAGAAAAATGCCCTGACCTGGACATCCTTTCAAATAACGAATGACTCTAAGGGCCGCAGACCACTGATCCTCCCTTGGTTCCTTCAAAAACTGTGCTAAAGTGTGGACGGCATAAGAAAGTTCCGGTCGTGTAACGGAGAGATAGACCAACCTTCTTACCAACCGTCGATATGGTTCTGGATCTGCAAGGACCGGGGCTTGGGAACGAGCCAAGTGATGATTTGGATCCATCGGGGCACCCAACGGCCTGGCACCTAACAACCCCGCCTCAGTGATGATGTCTAAGGCATACTTTCGTTGGCAGAGAAAAATCCGAGACGTGCTCCTCGCCACCTCAATGCCAAGAAAGTATTTCAGTGTTCCCAAGTCCTTCATATGAAAACAATCTCCGAGATAGGCTTTGAACTTGCTTACCATCTCTGTATTATCTCCAGCAATAATCAAATCGTCAACATAAACCAAAACATGTATGACTCATTTCTTTCCAACAAAATAAAATAAGGAGTAATCAGCAACAGATTGAACAAACCCATAGCGTTTTAAGGCTCCAGACAACTTGGCAAACCAACACCTTGGAGCTTGCTTTAAGACATACAGAGATTTCTTGAGTTTGCACACCACATTAGACGAATTCGAGAAACCAGGTGGCAATCTCATATACACCTCATCCTGAAGATCTCCGTGTAGAAATGCATTGTGAACATCCATCTGATGCAATTCCCACCCCTTAACTGCTGCAATTGCTAAAAGCGTTCTCACAGTGGTCAACTTGACTACAGGAGCAAATGTTTCTTTGTAGTCAAGTCCTTCAACCTGATGATTGCCAAGTATAACAAGTCTGGCCTTATATCTCTCTACACTTCCATCGGACTTGCGCTTGATCTTATATACCCATTTGCAACCAAGGGGCTTTTTATGGCGTGGAGGAGAGACAAGAGACCACGTCCCATTAGCCTCCAGTGCATCAATCTCCTCTCTCATAGCCTTCCTCCATCGTTCATCTTGGAATGCCTTCTTGAAACCTGTGGGCTCCACTCTAGCATCAAGTGCACTGAGAAAACACTTGTGTCTGTCAGAGAACTTTTCGTGTGTGACATACGAGACAAGAGGATATTTGCAATTTTCACCAACATGTAAACCAGCTACATGGGTAACATAATCGGCAAGGCGTACATTTGGACGTTTCTCACGTTGACCACGTCCCAAGTTTTCCACCACCTGCTGGGAAGAGGACGGTTGACCGCCGTCTGTGGAACGGTCCACGGGGTCGACCGTCTGAAGCTGTTCCGGATCGCTAACTTTCTGCCTCGGAGACGGTCGACCGTCTTCCACATCACGGTCGACCGTTTGATCATCTCCCAAAGAAACGTCATTCTGCTTTGCGGACGGTCCATCCGGTCGACCGTCTGTAGCCTGTCTGCTCCACCGCTTTCCTCTGGTTGACCGTCCCTCCTGGAACGATCCATCTGTTCTTCCGTCCGTAGTTCTTCATCTTCATCATAAGAGCTAACCTCATTTGTACTTCCTGTATCAAGAGATGCACATGTAGGAGTCAAGAAAGGAAAAATAACTTCACAGAACACAACATCCCGGGACACCTTAATTTCCCCAGTGTCCGGGTAGTAAATACGCCATCCCTTCTTCCCTTGTGGATATTCAACAAATATTCCAAGATTGCTTCTTGGTGCGAATTTATCTCCATTCCTCTTCAAGTTATGAGCATAACATCTGCATCCAAAAACACGAATATGAGCCAAAGAAGGTGGCTTTTCATAGGTCTTCTCGTATGGTGTGACCCTCCCTAGCAAAGACGAAGGTGTGCGATTGATCAAATGTGCGGCGGTCTGTATACACTCTCCCCAGAACTCAATCGGAAGACCAGCCTGAAACCTCAAAGCCCGACCCACATTCAAAATGTGTCGGTGCTTGCGTTCTACTCTCCCATTCTGTTGTGGAGTAGACACACAAGACGTCTCATGAATAATTCCTTGCTCCCTGAAATATTCGTTTAGACATTAAAATTCTGTGCCATTATCACTGCGAACACACTTTATTTTCTTCCCTAATTGCCGTTCTACCACAGCACAGAATTGTTTAAAAACAGTGCCAACCTTACATTTGGAATCAAGCAAATGTACCCAAACACCTCTTGAAAAATCATCCACAATGGTCAAGAACATTGTAGAACCATCAAAACTTGGAGTCCTATACGGTCCCCATAAATCACAGTGTATCATATCAAATTTATCAACAGATTGATAAAAACTTATAGGAAAGCTCCCACGAGTCTGTTTAGCACGCAAACAAATGTCACAACAACTGTGACTACTCTTACTTGTTCCAACTCCAGGAACAAGAGACAAAACATGAAAGGAAGGATGTCCAATTCGTTTGTGCCAAAGATCAAACTTACTCTCTTTCTTCGCACTGCACACCATCTTCTTTTCAGGCTCCTTGAAGTAATAAAGTCCTCCTTCCTGCTCACCCATACCAATTTCTGTCTTTAAACACAGATCCTGTAGTATACACTTATCGTTGGCAAAACATGCCTCACAATTCGAATCCCTTGTCAATTGTGACACAGAGATTAAATGGCAACTCAAAGTGGGAACATATAGAACATCATGCAGAATTAATGTTTCTGTCAATTTAATCTTCCCAGATTGTACAGAGACAATTCTTTTCCCATTTGGCAAACCAATCTCACATGGTGATATTCCCACAACATCATGTAATAACGAAATATCACGAGTCATATGATTTGATGCCCCAGTATCTATAATCCAGCGCGGTGACACAGGAATACCTGAAAGCTTCATACTAGAAACACACGATGATAAGGAGAAAAATATCTTCGATTGTTCATCGGCCATGGCGGTAGCAGAGTGGCGTACGGCGGTGGCGGAAGAATCAACAGCAGCATCAATCAAACAGTCTGCCGACGGGACGGTCGACGTGCTCGACTGTTCGAGAGCAACGGTCGACCGTTCCGTTATCCGGCAACAGCAACAACCGACTAAACCTGAGCAACGATCGATGGACGCCATGCCGGGCGATCGTGAACAGTAA